GCTGGGGCGTGACTACCATCAAATCCATTCCCAGACCAGAAAACAAAGACCTAGACAGGTTCCCTAGCTCGCCCAGGTCATACAGCTGCTGGGGTCTGAGGCAGGCCAAGCCCCAGCAGGCTGGCCGGAGCCACCTTCAACTGCCAGACCCACAGCTCACCTACAGCCACTGACCAGGCAGCAGTGGGACTGCCCCATGTCAGCCTCTGCCCATACATAGGGCAGGACCACAGAACATACCCTGCCCACCACACCACACCAACTCTGCCCATGCCCACTTGGCAAACCCCAGACAACAGTCCTGGCAATGTCATGAGCAGCTTTCAGGTCTGTGGCCCCCAGCCCAGCCCTACTCACAGTCACACGACAGGGTGCCACTGCAAAGCCTAAACCAGGGATAGAGCCCTGCATCATCTCCCGACCACAGAGATGGAGCTGAACGCTCTGTGCTTTACACACCTGAAAAACCAGTTCCTATCACTTTGCCATCCTAGCCTCTCATGAAATTGTACTCAAAAAAGAAAGCGATGGCAAAAGAAAGCTACAGTGTGCATTTTTGTTATCCCTACGACAAGCAACTTAGAGCAACAGCGCTGCCGGCTACCACGCTGGCCGATCGTCACCCCAGGCCCCCGGGGGGTTCTCATAAGGATGTAGGGCAGTGAGTCACCTGACCAGGGCACCACTCAGCTGGGGGCACGGCCGCAGGCGGCTGCAGGGCCACACTTGTGGGAGGCGGACAACATGCGTGGCCACCGCAAGGGGAGGAAAATCTGGAGTCTGGAGCAGAAGGAAAGTGGGTGGGGCGTCCAGAGCACTTCCCTGCTGAGCTGGTGGACAGAGGAACTTACAGGCACGTAAGGGAGGGTGCTGAGGGCCTGGTGTCTCCTGGCCCCAAGTGGAAGGTGAGGCTCTGCCAAGTACAGCACGTGGGCTAATGAGCCTGATGGTGGGGGGACCTACAGGGCCAGACCAGGGTGCGAGAAGGGGCGTGAGGTGGCTGTGTTGCAAAGGCCAGCAGCTGAAGTGGGGGCAGGTGGAGCAGTGGAGGCTGCCCAGCAGGCCTCTGGGTCTAGGTGGACACTGCATAGGAGGGTGCAGTGGGCCTCATGCCAGCAAAGCAGACAGGGCTGCTGGCAGCCAGTGCAGAGCCCACCGCACCCCATGGAGGCAGAGGGGCCGCAGTCCTGGAGGGTGGGGGACTCTGCAGATGCAGTGCTGCATCAGGGCATGGCGAGGACCATTTCTTGGCTAGGGCTTTGGCAAGTGACCTCGCCTCCCCCACCTCAACTCCTCAGAACATGTCCTCGGACATCTCATGGCCGGGTTCATAGGGAAGCCTTCAGAGGGGAAGACACCTGGACGTGTGAGGACTTGGCAACTTCCGGTGTCAGAGCTCGGGTCCTGGAGATCAGGTGTCAGGTTCCACCATAGCCAGCAGCGCTCACAGTCCAGGCATGGGAACAGGGGCACAGGAGGGGCACAAAGGTGGAGAGCCCCGTCTCCCTGATGCTCCTACAGAATCCCCAAACCAGTGCACCCACCCAGTGGAGGGCAGGGCCAGGACACTCACCAGGGTGAGGCCAAGGGCAGGGGTTATGGCTGTTCACCAGGGGATGACGAAGGGCATGGGCCAGCTGCCTCGGGGGCACCAGACAGTTGGCACTGCACAGTGGGTGGGTTCGCTGGGTGTTGAGGCCTGGAAGGTGTGCTCGGGATGGGGAGGGGGTGCAGGCTATGGCTGGCTGAGTGGAGCCGGGGTTTGGGGGAGGAAGCTAGTGTCTCCTGTCTCTGCAGGGGGGTTCACATTGCTTTGTCCCCTCAACAAAGTCAGGCTCTGGTGACAACGGGGCACAACCTGGACAGATCTGAGGAGCTGAACACCTCCAGCTTCCACAGGGCTCAGCCAAGACCTGGGCGCAACAGCATTCCCTCCCAGATGGGGCCACCATCCCCCATCAGCATGACAAGACCTCCTCCCAGGATGCCCCCCACAGCCCAGGGGGCTGGCCTTGTCCACAGCCCCTCTCCAACCCCTCCTCACACCCCAACCAGCCCCACGGTCCCCTTCAGGGCAGGGTTTCCAGAATCCACCTGTCCTTGGTGTGTTCACTGCCCCTTGGCAGCCCCAAATCTTTGGACCTGTTCCCTGTTCCCTCCTTGTGTCCAGGTGGCATCCCCAGGGCCCTCGCCTCCAGCACAAACTCCAACCTGCAGAAACTTTGTCAGCTCAGGAGACCACGGTGCAGGGCACGCCCAGGGGAGGGAAGCTAGGCTGCCCTGGGATGCCTTTCTGTGCAGCTGGAGCAGTTCCATATCCAGTGAAGAAACTGATACTGCACTCCTCTCTGAAAAATTAGCAACCTCATCTACACAGAGACCGGACTGGAGAAGCCCCAGCAGGTGCAGCAATCCCAGAAGTAAGTCAGAGCTATGGACGCCACCTTTGCTGTGGCCCAAGCAGTGAAATGGGGCCGCTAACCCCCAGGACGGGTGAGAAGCCCAACACCCAGAAAATGAGACCCTAGAGCTTCCCCGGCCACTGCAGCAGCCCCCCCACCCCAGCAGCCCTCCCCACCCCAGCAGCTCCCCCCATCCCAGGAGGCAGATGGGCGCACGGGAAAATCAAGGACAGCACTCAGCCAGACAGGCAAACCAGAGCCAGCAGACGAAACCCAGAAACACAGAGCAAATGAAATGGTAAAAATCACCATCAACGCCCAAGGCTATCTGTGCAGAAAGGGTCCACAGAGTGGGCGGGGACGGCCGTCCTGAGGCCCGCTGGCCGGGCTGGCCCTTGGCTGGCGTGTGGGAACTGGGATTTCCAAGGGGCTCCCCCCGCCCCACCTCACTGGGCCTGTGCTGTTTGTACAAGGTGGTTTAGGCAGAACACCCACATCCCCGCTGAGAGCCTGGAATTCTGGCGCAGCCCAGGCAGAAGCTGCTCACGTGACCCGTCCCGGGTACATCACCAGGCAGGGCGTCCCAGCTGCTTGCAGGGGGGGTGAGGCGCATCCTGCGTGACCCCTGCCCCAGGAGAGGCCTCCAAAGCTGACTGAGCCTGGTGCCCCTGGGCTTGGCCCCAGGAACCTTTCCCTTGGCTGATTTTGCTCGTTGTCCTCTCTGTGGAAGATCACAGCCGTGAGTACCACGACCTGCGTGGCCTGTGTCCTCCTAGAGAATCCCTGCCCTGGGTGGTCTTAGGGACCCCAACTCAGTATCACATTAGAGTTCTTAGTCATTAAAAAGTATGGTTAGTGAGAACACCGGACAGAGGGCAGAACAGACATGCCTGGGGGCCTGTGCTGAGGCACTCACCCAGTGCTCCCCACCAGGAGCAGCCTGGGAACCGGCCCTGGGAACCGGCCCAGGGAACGAGGCGCCAGCACCTGGGGGAGCCTGGGGACCCTGCCTCACAGGGTTACAAAGAAAAGCTGACTGCAAACTACCAGAACAGAAACAGCAAATCACTGACACAGGAATCTGCCTCTTTATTGACATGCTAAGTAACAAGATGCAGAGGCAGGTCTGATCGCGACCGACAGAGGACCACAGAGGAGTGATGACAGGGAGCTGTGCTTCGACGCAACTGCAGCAGGGAAGGGCGCTGGGAACAGCCTGCTGGCTTCTAGTGGTCAAATGTGCCACTAACATGATGGCATCTGCTGAAAAAGCTACAAAATGTCATTTACAGGTTAGTGAACACATCCGTCTCACAGACCCCAACTAACCTGAGAACTCCAGAGAAAGACCACAGAATGACGGAAGGGAGATCAGAAACAGAGAAGAAAATGTGCCAGAGCTAACCCAAATCTGCAGAAAAGGCCCCACCGTGAGGTATCCCAGCTGGGATGATCTGGTGTGCTCCTGGGGGCAGTGGCCACAGGCTCCTCTGTGGCCAGGTGACAACACGACAAAGGGACACACACTGCAGGGCGGGGAAAACACAGAACTTTATTTCAACAGAGTGATTAGGTTCCACCACACAACAGGGACACCATGGGATTTTTTCATTTAATAAATACAAATGAATAAAAATACTTTGTCAAGAGACTGCCTCTCCTCCCTCTCCCCATTTCACAGAAGCCTCCAGGCCAATTGTGTGCCCCTCAGGGGCCCGCACCCACAGCCCCCGTCTACTTACACAAACGACTCTCCTTTACAGAGAGGGCTCCCTCTCATTTGCCTGGAAATACTACTTAGGTACAATACCGCTCCTTTCCCCCATCTCCTTGCAAATACAAGTTCTTGCCCTGCGTTCCAAATTTTAAATGAGTCCCTTAAGAAAAGGAAAGAATCTGCTGTCCACAAAAGCCCAACGTGAAGCTACTTCAACCAGAAACTCACCCATGACACTCTGTGTGGGTTCAGTCACACAGACCACGATCCATTATGGAAGGGAGGGAGAAAGTGATCACATCAAATCTACTGTATGCCTCATAGACCATCCCTTATTTCAAAAATAGAAATTCCTATTTAAATGTCGCCTGTGTGCAACAGGCCTGATATTTGCTTCTGCATGTGGCAGATCTGTTATTGCTTACACTGTGGCCTCCTGGCCTGTGCTGCTCAGCGGGCCCTGTGAGAGAACATGGGAACCACATCAAAATCCTAAGTCACAAAACAAGGGCTCTGTCCCCAACCTGGACCCGGGGGCCCACATGCCCACCTCCACAGCCCAGTCAAGTGTGGGGATAAGGCACTCCTCTGTGCTCTGGGCTAAAATATGGTAGAGTCCCGTCTGACTTTTGAGTTGCAAAGAATGATTTTGTGCTAATAAATTCCCAGTGCATCCAAAATGTACAAAAACCCTAGAATTTCCAGTTTATAGATGGGAAAAAAAAAATTTCTGTAGATCCAGAAAAAAACTTCCATTGAAACTTTAAAGACCTCACTTGCACCTGCTCTAGTAATGCACTAGTTACTAATACACAACTGTAAATCTTTGATGAGTATGATCGGGAAAAAACTGTCTGTCCTTGTGATCAGCAATAAATTTCTTTTTTTTTTTTTTTTTGAGACTGAGTCTCACTCTTTTGGCCAGACTGGAGTGCAGTGGCGCGACCTCGGCTCACTGCTACCTCTGCCTCCCGGGTTAAGCAATTCTCCTGCCTCAGCCTCCTGAGTAGCTGAGACTATAGGCGCACGCCACTACGCCCAGCTAATTTTTTGTAATTTTAGTAGACATGGGGTTTCACCGTGTCAGCCAGGATGGTCTCAATCTCCTGACCTCATGATCCACCTGCCTTGGCCTCCCAAAGTGCTGGGATTTCAGGCACGAACCACCGCGCCCAGCCAATCAACGATAAATTTCTTTTCTATCTACCCCATTTCTTATTAATTCACACTTAACGCATTTCCTGGAAGTATTTCTAAGTGTGATGGTTTGTAATACATAACAAATGAAAAAGATGTAATTAGATTATAAGAAAAGCATCTGCCTGTAGAATGTGAAGGAAGAAAGGAAGTAATGGACTCTTCATGGAGCCCACAGGGAACCAGAAGGGACCCAGAAAGGGTGCCGGGCTCTTCCCCTGTGCTGTAGCTCCAGGGCCCCATTTCTTCAGAAGGAGCGTTCTGGGTATTCCATCGTCCCCTGGAAGTCTGGCAGGTGCGACCCCCTCAACACTCCAGGGAGGGAGGGAATCCACAGGGAGCCATGAACTGCTGGTTTCAGCGGGGAGAGGTAGTGCTGACAGCTCTGATAATCTACCTGAAGCCCTTTGTGAGGAATACTGTAAAACTGCAGTAAGCTGTCAATATTCGACATTGAGTCATCACTTCAGAAGAGAAGCCTGTTTGAAGTTGGAAAGGTTTAAAAAAAAAAAAAAAGATACTGTGGTTCTTGCAAGTCTGCTTGTTTGGTGCCAGCACAGAGTAGCACTGTCATTAAGTGCTCGGAGAACGCTGAGCTGGTTGGCGGTGCGTGCGCCTGTGCGAGGCGAGGCCTCAGAGTCCCAGAGACTTCTGGACGATCTGCTTGGCAATCTTATAGAACTGCTCCCGGTCATCGCGCCACATTTTGGACGCATCCACGTTAGCTCCACTTTCGTCATTGGGCTCTGAAAGAAAAGGGAACGCCCTCCATGTAAAAGGGAGTCCTACATGTAAGCAGCCTGGCAAGGCCTCCCATTTACTTAAAACACTGGAGGAGGCTTTCAAGAGCTGTGTTTCAGAAACAAACAAGAACCCGAGAACTGCACGGGGTCGGCCCCACCTCTAGAGGGCTGGCCACGCGGGTCTCAAAGAGCCACTCATGACTCCTGTGTTCTGAGTGTCTGAAGACGCCAGGACAAGCTGCCATCTGTCTTGCTGTGAGCACGTGACAACCACCTAAGCACAGGCCCACACGGCCTCCCACAGCAGCCTCCTGGGCCACTGCACTTCCGGCACCCGGACAAGCTACATGGGACCCACCTGCTGCTTATTTCACCTTTCTCAAGACACCCTGCAGTGTGGTTTCTCTCTCACAGAGCACCCTCTCAGCAAAACTGCCCCTCACAGCTCCCACCAAGACAATCCCAAGCAAATGTGCAGCCTAAGGTAGACACCTGACCCCAGGACACTTGACCCACCCACTAGCCAGGGGCTCTGGCAGTCACTCCAGCACTGCAGTCAGAAGGCACGGAGGGCACAGCCAGGGCCTGCCGGAAGGCAGAAAGGAGAGAGACCACCAGAAACGGATGACATGTGCTGAAGCAGCAGCTGTGCAGTGTGGCGGCAGTACTGCTCAGATTGCACACGGGGACCGGTTCAGAGCAGAGCTGATGAGGATAAAACCCACAGCTGACACGTGAAGACAGCCTGAGCCACTGCCTCCCTTCCCACCTCCAATCTCCTGGCCTGGCTCCCTCCACTCAGCACATGAAGGGAGTTCCGCCTCAGCCCTCTCAGGATACACACTCGCGTCACAGGCCCTGACCTCGCATCCCTCTGGACCCCACTCCACGGCACCCAAGCGCTCTGCAGAGAACAGCTGAGTGGTCTCACTCTGCCATCCACCAACCCCCTGGCCCTCTGCTGGGTCTGCTCTTTCCTTTCGGACTCCCACCTTCCTTTCCCACACCCTTCCTCCTGCCTGCCCTGCTGTCACCCTCCGTCCTCCTCCATCACCTACTGCCTCATCCAGAAATGACCCCACATCTTCACTCCCATGTCTGACCCCCTTTTGTGGATGGAGGCCCCTTGTCCTACACACCTCAAACAGTTCCCCAAATCCTGCTGTCTCCGAGACCCAGAGCAGCACCTCTGGCACACAAAGAACCAGGAGTCCCAGAGCCCGTACCTTTAAGGTCTCCCAAAACCACCCCTTCCTCTTAGCCCTGGGACCACTCAGCCCTTCTCTTTTCTCTCCAGGCTACTGCAACACCACGAAGTCTCTGTTTATCTTCCATCACACTATTAGTAACTGCTACAAGGATGGCCCTTCGAACGCACAGCTCACAGGACGTCACACCCCCACTCCAATCCCCAGGGTCTGCTGGGGCTCCTCTCCTTGCAGCCTTGGCTCCAGCCAAAATGAGCTGGCAGTGCCCCCATTAAGTCAGCCGCCTCCTGCCTCTGGGCCTCAGCCCAGGCTGCTTCCTTTGCCCCAAAAGTCGTTCCCTCCCTCCTACCTCATCAACACCTACACGTCCTAAACATACTCCAGACAGCTCCACCAGGAAGTGGCCCGAGAGTCCCTGCATGTATCTGATCTCAGGATGCATCCCACTGGCCTCTAACTGCTAGTAGGCTTGGACAGTTCCCTAGAACCATGGGAACACAGAGGTGGGGTCTTTGTCACACAAAGCTTTACACCCCCAGTCCAGTGGGTGGCATGTAGTCGGTCCTCAATAAACACCTACTGAGGGAAAAAGAGGTTCAAGGACCAGAGACCAGTTAATTATGGCCGACAATACAATATACAACACCAGGCTGCACTAGAAGGCATGCTTACAACTGGACAAGTATATGGAGATAACACTAAACGGCAATAGCATGTGTAAACTAACTGCAAATGAGTAAAAGTTCATTATAAAGACAAGATGACCCAAGGCAGGAGAACACCTGCAGCCCGGGTCTCCACAGCAGCTCCTGCCAGGCGGCTCGGGCCTTACCTGCCAGCATGCTCACCACCGACAGAAGGATCTTCTCCACGCTCTGCACGGGACTCCACCGCTCTGCACTGCTCTCGTAGCCCATGGGGTCGTCGCCTGGCGCGTGGAGGATGGAAATGCAGACTCTCCCATCAGGGTAGACTGCAAGGGTCAGAGGCAGTCAGGTGAGCCCAGGAATGGTGCCCAAGGCGTCACCACGCTGGGGCAGGCTCCACAGATAATGAGAACAAGGATTACAGACACAGCAACCAAGCTGTTTGCACAGCTGGGGCATAGCCTGGGGCCCTGAGTGTCACGCTTCATGTCTGCAGGAATCCTGGTGAGGCCAGCTCACTCACTGACAGGCTCCAGGCTGACCTGGCCAGTTCTAATCAGCTGTAATAATCTAATCCACTTTCATATAAACTTTTTTCAAGCACTACACACAAAAAGAGTAAATGAAAGGTTATCTGGCAAATATTTTATCAAAATATCTAATGTGATTAGGATTATTTACAATACTTTTCAGAGCTAGTTTCTTAGGTATTTCTAATTCTACCATTAAATCCCTGACCTGGTCTGTGTAAAATATATGTTCACATGGCTACGATAAAGGCAACTGGAATTATTTAAATATCTACAAAAAGAAAGACACCAAGATTTCTCTTGGTAGCTTACTCTAATAATAAGTAAATTATCATCAGTACTACCTGGAATGGAGATCAATGTGTCTAAATCAAATCCCTTTCCACCAAATATCATCATTAAAAAGATACGCAAGGTCTGATGAAGACAAATACATTTTTAATTCACAGCATGTAATCAGTCCTCTTTTACATATAATTGGGAGGAATTCTCAGATGGCTCCATATATACTCAGACATCCAGCAATCCATCTAGATAGACTCAACTGTAAAATTATAAAGCCATTAAAGTTATAATAGAAATAGCAATTTTTGAATACTTTTATTTAACTCACCTAAATTCATGAGTTCTGAATTTCATGAAAATTTGCGAATGTTAATGGTGATCATTTACCTTCAAACAGTCTTGTCTTTCATACCTGGTCCTACGTGTTTCCTTCCACTCATCCATTGTTTCAGTGGTAAATCCTCTCTACTATCCAGGAACCGAACCACAACTTCTCATTCAAGGACAGTGGAAGAAACTAGATGCACACTTGCCCTGCACATCAGGCTGTCCACCTAAGATCCACATCCACAAAATTTGGAAGTTTCCCACTTCTGCATCGCCTTCTCCAGGTGGGGGTCCCATAGGTGACACTGTGCACCCCCAGAAGCACCAAAAGCACCTGTGTCCCTGCCACAGCCCTTCCTTCACCAAGTCCCAGCAGTGCCACATCCTAAAACTCTCGTGGATCCACCCACATCTCTTCATCTTTAGTGCCCACATTTGGTTCCCAAGCTGCTGGTGTCTCTACCCCAGACCGCTACAGCCGAGGGCCTGCCTGGCTTCCTCCTATCTGTCCTTCGCACTGTACCCAGAGCGAGCCGTCAGATATCACTCTGGTCATGCTACTCCCTTGGAACCTTTCAATGGAGTTCTGCCACTCCCAGGAGAAAACATCAAAACCTTCAGTAATGACCAAAAGGCCTGAGGTAGTTCGGCCCCTTCCTTCCTCTTCCCTCACTTCCTGCTCTGGGCCTTTGCACATGTGAAGGACCCCTCCTCCCCGAATCACTCAGGTAACTCCTGCTTCACTCCCTACAGATGGTCCATCCAACCACCACCTCTGCAAGGTGCTGCCTGGACCTTCCTCATGTGACTTTGCATTTGTTTGTAATTCTCCCATCAATGTCCATCCCTGTCCTTGGACTATATGCTGCTGAAGGTCTGTTATTTGCTCACGACTGTATCCCAGCAACTTGTAGTAAATGTGTTGGATTTTTTTAAAGTACTTATTGACTGTCTAATTTTTATGATATTGATAGACCTACAGTTCTCAAAGATAATTTTTAAAAATCAAAATAATCCAATTACAGTAAGGCAAAAATTTAAAACTGTATTATCTGAGCATTAAAAATAATTACTAGAACGGCCGGGCGCGGTGGCTCAAGCCTGTAATCCCAGCACTTTGGGAGGCCGAGACGGGCGGATCACGAGGTCAGGAGATCGAGACCATCCTGGCTAACACGGTGAAACCCCGTCTCTACTAAAAAATACAAAAAACTAGCCGGGTGCGGTGGCGGGCGCCTGTAGTCCCAGCTACTTGGGAGGCTGAGGCAGGAGAATGGCGTGAACCCGGGAGGCGGAGCTTGCAGTGAGCCGAGATCCGGCCATTGCACTCCAGCCTGGGCGGCAGAGCGAGACTCCGTCTCAAAAAAAAAAAAAAAAAAAAAAAAATTACTAGAACACTAAAAATAATAATCAGACCACCTGCAGTACATAGTCACATAATGTAATCAGTTTATTGGTCATATTTGTCACTAATGCCACATCACAGGTATTGTTCTGAATAATATATTTATCCTCAATACAATTTTAGTATCTTAATTACCTACAGTCCTCTTCACAGTTGCATTTTACAGCTAACCAACTTGAAACTGACTACTTCAATTACTCTTACCTATCAATTTTATTTTTTAACTTTTTACTATGGAGAATTCCAAAAACACACTTGAGTAGACAGCGTATGATGAACCTCCATGTTACCATTTAACTCAGGCTCATGGCCAGTCTCCCTGAAAGAAAGGCAGGCTTCTGAGCATCTCCTGTGCACACAAGACTGAAGTAGCTCTGAGACAAGAAAAGAAGTACCAAATGGTCTTTCTCAGACGGCCACCCACTACCTATGCGTACCAATATCTGCAGTAAATGAGAAGTCCTTAATGAGGGTTAGGACAGCAAGTCTAACAGCAGAGGGCATTTCCATGAAGGAAGTGGCGGGGGCGTCGGGGGGCAGTCCTGAAAACCCCTATGGCAAAGAGGAGTTCGAGTGGGGCTCTGCCTAGACAGGCGTAGACAAGGGGAAAGTATACCAAATGGATTCCATTTTAACCCCAGAGAGAAGTCAGAGGCTCAGAAAATTCTATAAATTCTCTCATGCTCTTTGATATGTATACAATAAGAAATTCGTTTCAAATAAGTATTTCATTTTTGCAAAATAGGATACTTTATTTGCTTTTCTTCTCTATAGCTATTAAGATCGTGATTATCAGCGGCAATAATAATCATCTATAAGAAACATTATTCTAAATAACATCATTGAAGATATAACATATTTCCTTATTAATTCTCTTATGTATAATCCCCAAATGTAAAAGGAAGAAATAAAAACTACAGTTGTTCAGGAATTCCAATTCCTACTACTGGACACATTTTCAAATAGCTACAGTACAATTCACTTAAATGACCTTATTTTTTTCTTCCTTGTAAAAGTAATGTATATTAATTTTAGGGCAAAAAAAGATTTATAAAAAGGAAAAAATAATTTCAATCTGAAAAAAGAATCACTTCACATTTTTGTGCTTACTTTTCCAATTATATATACATTTACATGTAAATTTATTTTTCAAGAGGAAATTACAACAGTCCTACTGCTTTTCCCAGTCAATATAACACAAGTATTATTTTGTTTCATTGATTCTTATTTTAGATCATTTTAAAAATCTACATCACATTCTAACATATACGATATGGTTTGGCTGTGTCCCCACCCAAATCTCATCTTGAATTGTAGCTCCCATAATTCCCATGTCATGGGAGCGACCCAGAGGGAGGTGCTAAATCATGGAGGCACACCTTTCCCGTGCTGTTCTCGTGATAGTGCATAAGTCTCACGAGATCTGATGGTTTTATAAAAGCAGTTTCCCTGCACACACTCTCTTGCCTGCCACCACTAAGATGTGCCTTTGCTTCTCCTTTGCCTTCTGCCATGATTGTGAGGTCTCCCCAGCCATGTGTAATTCTGAGTCCATTAAATCTCTTTCCTTTATAAATTACCCAGTCTTGAATATGTCTTTATTAACAGCGTGAGAACAGACTAATACAACATATAACTTAATTTATTCTTGTGTTAAAAACCCAGGTTAAGTCAAAATTTTCACCATTAAAAATAACACTATGACAAAGATTAGCATAACCCCTTCTGAGCACACACCCACACGTAAAACTTCCTCCCCAGTGAAGTAGGGTGGCTGGTCAAATGGCATCCAGTTTTCTTTTATCTACATTAAACTGACCTTCAAAATTGAAATCATATGTTTAATACCACCATGCTTACCTGGCTGAATTTCAAAACCTAAGAAGTGTTTTCTAAAGATCTACATCATAGACACATAGAATATACCACATTTCAAGTGGTTGATAAGATTATCTCTGCACCTATCCTGGTACCACAAAAACTACTTCCAAAAGCACTTACTGTTGGGATGAAACATCTCACAGGTAAATCTCATCTTTGGGGGACTTAACGGGTAATCAAGTGGGAAACTCAGGATGGCAGGAAAAACGCCAAACTCAAAGCAGGTGTCTTCTGGGCCCCTAGAAGATATCAAATATGTAGACTGAACTTCAAAGTACATTTTTCAACATCGACCACAACTGAGAAATGGGTTAAGAACATTTTTACCACTTTAAAAATGCACATGAGGCCGGGCACGGTGGCTCACGCCTGTAATTCCAGCACTTTGGGAGGCCGAGGCGGGCAGATCATCTGAGGTCAGGAGTTCGAGACCAGCCTGGCCAACATGGTGAAACCCGTCTCTACTAAAAATATAAAAATTAGCTGGGTGTGGTGGCGAATGCCTGTAATCCCAGCTACTAGGGAGGCTGAGGCAGGAGAATCGTCTGAGCCCGGGAGGTGGTGAGCCAAGACTGCACCACTGCACTCAAGCCTGGGTGACAGAGCGAGACTCTGTCTCAAAAAATAAACAAAAATAAAAATAAATAATAATAATAAAAATGCACATGAAAAGATTATCTAAATGACAATGAATTGGTACTTTTTTCCTCAATTGAAAGCAATGTCTCATTCTCCTATTTCAATCTGGTCTAAATCTTAAGTACAAGTACAAAGACTGAGTTACAGGCAATTTTCACATTTATAAAGGTTAAGAGTTGAGCAGCAAAACCTCTTGATAATTAGGGGATCAGAGAAAATAACTCATGTCAATGCTCTAAGATCTGGGAGCTTTTTCTGCAGATGTGGTACAATCACATTTTAGGATAAGGGTATGAATTAAGGCAAAGGATATAGCAAGATTCCATTGTATTTCAACAGATGAGGGGCTAAGAGTTGTATTTTAAAGGTGATTTTTAATTTGTAAACGTGCCCAAGAAGGCATCTTTGCAACCTTCAAGAAGCAGATGAAGAGCACATGTGATCACTGCTGCATGCTAGGTGAAAGGCTAGGCACACAGGTACCACCACTCCAGGCCGCAACTACAGGACCACATGTCATGCCTCATCCCACTGATGCAACACTAGAACAACTCCCCGTCATGGGCACAGACACAGGCATATGAGTCTCCCTGGACCTACACTTTCCTCACAAGTAAATGGAAGAAATAGATGAAACCATTTCAGAAATCCTGCTTAACCTTTAAAATCCAACAAGTATAAATTAACACTATCTTAACCAACAGTTCAAGGCATGATGGCCACAGGAGAGGAAAGTGATAGCCACCATGCCTGTATCTTTACGCCAGGGATGAACTCCTCCTCTCCAGCAAACCACATTAATAAAACACACATTCAAGGAGTTCTAAAAGATCTTGCACCATTTTTCTTTGATAAAAAAGCAGGACTGCTGAATGACAGTGACAGACACTGAAACAGTGGAAATTGCATTGTGTGTGACTCATCAGATCAATAAACAAGTCAGTAAATCCGTTTTACTTCTATGAACTGAAAGAACAAGTCCCTTCATAAACAGCTCTGCTCCTCTAACAATAACGGCTAAGGCAGAAAGAACAGCTGCGCGGGGGCCAAGGCCTGGATGAGCAGAGGACAGTCCACACAAGACCTACTGCCTTCAGAAAGAATCCAGGATATGGCACAGGAAAAAAATAATTTTTAAAAAATACATTTTAAATCTTTAGTTAAAAAATAGATTTATTAAAAGTAAAAATTTGTTTCAAAAATCTTAAAATTATCTTGGTTCAGTGAAATTAATAACAACAGATTTGGAAATATTTATCTCTACAATTAAAAGAAAAAGACAAAAATCAAAAAGAAACTGAACAAAGAGCTTTAGCTTTCACCTGGAGGCGGCACTCAGGGCTGTCGGCAGCAACAGCAGATGCCGAACGGCTCATGGCCCTGACGGGGCTGATCGAACGGCTCATGGCCCTGACGGGGCTGATCTGCGGGCAACAGTCAGAAGAGAACAAGGCAGTGATTGCTTCGTGGAGACAAGATTTTTCAATCTAAAAGACAAATTTTGATTCTGAAAACTGTCTTTGCTACCTTTTGGGAAGAGAGTGAATATGGCCACTTTGTTTTGGGGAGCGGGTTACTGAGTGACAGTCCCCAGAGCCTCAGCATGACCAGCACAGGGAACACCACCGAGGGAGGCACGCGCACAAGGTCCTGCTACTGGTACAACAGCTACGCTGGAGAGGGCAGTGCCTGGATGAGTACCCCCGGCCCTGCTCTGGCCCCCAGCACCCAGTAGCTTGGGGATGCCTCAAGCCTGGGTTACTCTGCTCCCCCTGCAATGGCCTGAACAAACACGTTCCTGAAGCCCCACCTTCTCAACACAGGGTGGGCACACACCATGTATCAGAGTGACGCGTGGCCACCCCGAGCCTCCTGTCCAGTACAAGAGCTCAGCGCAAACGATAACCTCCACCCATTCACTCTCCACATGCACTCTGATGAAACAGCACCAAGGATTGTGGTTTTCATTTTACTGTCAAGCAAGGCTGGAAAATTCAAGGATGAAATGACTTAGTCAAGGTCCTAGATCAACTTAGTATTAGAGTTAAGAGAACGCAGTTCAAACTGTGAAATCAGAAATCAGGTACATAAAGATACTATCTTTAAAAGTAACACTGTTCATATGTCAGGAACGCTTGCCAGCACTCAATATTTCTGGCACCTCTGAGTCTAGAATAAGAAAAAATGTCTGGGTAGTGTTTTTGGAATGAGCCAAATGGTATTTGCTCAATACTTTGATAACAGATCTTTGTTTCTCACAATAGGGCTTTCTTTCAAAAAAAATTTTTTTAATCTACCAGGTCGTTCCTAGCCTCAGAAGCATGACCAAACATTTCCTGAAGAGCGCCCACATCTTAAATATCAAAGTTATTTGCAAATGCTCCGGTTTACTGCTGGTTTGAAACTGGGGTTTCTTTCTCTTTTCTAGAATGCCTGGCGCCCAGACAGGAGGGCAGGTGGGCAGTGGTGTGCAGCAGCATGCCTGACCCTATGGAACATGCCTTCTAGGCAACTCCTGAGCCAGGAGTGGGAGACGCCACAGTGCTGTTTTTGGACAACTTTTATTGCCATACTCCCAGACAACCTCACTTCTCTTTCACCAAAGATGGCCTCACCTGGGAATCTTCAAAAGAAACAACAAGAACAAGGAGGATGCAAATATATTAATCAATGGGGAAATTAATCAATGGGGAAAGAACTGTCTTTTCAAAAATGGTGCTGAGACAACTGGATAACCACATACAAAAGAATGAAACAGACTCCCACCTAACTCACATGAAACTAACTCAAAATAGATCAAAGGCCTAAAGGTAAAAGTGATAAAACACAAAACTTCTACAAGAAAACATAAGAGAAAATCTTTGTAACCTTGGGTTATATACAACACCAAAAGCATGCTCCATGTAAGAAAAAAATGCAAAATCGCACTTCATCAAAATTAACAACTTTTTAGTTTCAAAAGACTCATATTAAGAAAACAAAATGGAGAGTTGCAGATTGGAAGAAAATATTTTAAAATCCTATGTCTAATGAAGGACTTGTATCAAAATATATTTTAAAAACTCTTATGTCCCACCAACAAGAAAACAACCCAATATAAAAATGGGGAAAAGTTCTGAAGTTCACCAAAGAAGATACATGAATGGCCAATAAGCCCATTAAGAGATGCTCAACATCATTAGTCGTCAAGGAAATCCAAGTCAAATCTGTACGGAGACCGCACTTTACACCCACCAGAACAGCTATTATCAGACAACAGTGTTTGTGTGGAAATGGAGAAACTAGAACACTCATACACTGCTAGTGGGAATGCAAAATGGTGAGCTACTCTAGAAGATAGTCTGATAGCTTCTTAAAACATTAAATGCAAATTTACTCCATACCCCAGCAATTCCAGACCTCTATATCTAGTCTAGAGAAATGAACCCCATGTCCACACAGACAGTATGACATGACAAGTATTTACAGCAGCATTTGCTCAAAAGAGCCAAGAAGTAGGAAGCCCAAATGTCCATCAACTGGGGAATGGAAAAGGAAGGAGCTGCTGATATGCAGTATAACGTGGATGAATCGCAAACATGTTCTGCCAAGTAAAAGAAGCCAGGCACAGATGATTAGACAGTGAATTCCACGTATAGGAAAAGTCACAAAAGGCAAATCTATACTCAGAGGAAAGAGTAGGGATTGCCTGTGGGTTGGAATGGGAACTGACTGCAATTAGGCTTAAGGATCTTTTTGGAAATATTCTAAAACTGGATTGTGGTGATGACTGCAAAACTCTAGAAATTTACTAAAACCACTGACTTCTATACTTAATGCAGGTAAAACGTACAGTATGTAAATTATCTCAATAAAGCTGTTCAGGCTGGGTGCCTTGGCTCCTGCCTGTAATCCCAGCACTTTGGGAGGCTAAGGCAGAAGGATCGCTTGAAGACAGGAGTTCGAGACCAGCCTGGAAAAGAGAGCAAGACCAAAGCATTTTAAAAACCAGTTGGGCGTGGTGGTGTGCGCCTGTGGTCCCAGCTACTTGGGAGGCTGAGGTGGGAGGACTGTTTGAGCCTGGGAATTGGAGGCTGCAGTGAGTTGTGATTAGGCCACTGCACTTCAGCGTGGGTGACAGAGCTAGACCATGTCTCCATAAGAAAGGGAGAGGTGGGGAGGGAAAAAGAAGGGGAGAAAGGAAGAGAGAAAGGAAGGGAGAGAGGAGACAAGAGGAAGGAAGGATGGACAGACGGTTCCAGACCTATTATTCTAGAATCTGCCTTTATCATCTATATTGTGTACATCTTTCCATGCCAGGATGAAAATTCCACCTGAACTGTTTTAGAGCTACATGGCATTACTCTATATAGATGCTCCATAAATTATGTGGAAGAGTGATGTTTCCTTTTTTATTAATGCAATGAATGTGGCAATAACTTATTCATATAGGGAACTTTGTAACACTTTTGTTGAAGAAACTGCTATGGTGAGATTACATACAATACAAATTATAAACACCTATTTTATTATCTCGGGTCTATTTTAGCAAGGCATAATAAATACTGCCAAGAGATGCTCTGTGACAGTCTTCAGTCAACAAGAAATCTGGACATAAAGGGAGGCTGCTGTGCCCCCGACACTTGCCCCCAGTGTGAGAAGGGCTCTGGGTAGAAGTGGCAGCCTGGGAACCCTCAAGCTGGCTGCCGTGAGCCAGTTGGAGAACCTGGGAGCATCCATCCACCAGCTGGGCCCCAAACACACCATTCAGTAAAGGAAGGTCCTTATTTCACCACAGCCTCTAGAACCACTGGTCTGGGGAGGTGACAGCAGTCAGGCACGAACCATCAGGAAGGTCACTATGCCAGCTGATCTGGGAATGCTGGGGCAGGACACAGCAGACAGCAACGGCCAAGGGACTCCACGGCTTGTCTGGCCACTGGGGTTGAACAGCTGTCTAGGGCTCCTTCCATCCTACAGAAGTGCATCAGTGAAAGAGGGCACCCACCCTCTCTGCAGCTGCACCCCCGTCACCATGGCTTAGTGGCAATGGGGTCACAGGCCACGGACCCTAGAGCTGGGCAAGACCTGTAACCATCTATCTAGAAGATGCTGATGAACCTCTCTGTTTTGATCCAAATAAGTGAAAGACAGGCAAAGTGACTGGGCCAAGAGCAGCAGGCCATGCTAGCAACCACAGCCACGGTGGCCACATCCCCTGGTGTGCCGCCGTCCCAGCCACACTTGATTTGACTGCAGGCTCAGACCCCACCATGAGCTCAGCAGGGTCAGCAGAGTTATTTCCGGTGTTTAAAGACGCAGCCTGAGGACTCTCATTATTTAGTCCTCTCATTCACTAATCTGTTCTATTCTCTATCCTAATCCCTCAACCCTGATCTTCCAAGGTAAAGATTTCAGTGCATCTTGGACATGTCTGTATCCTCAGACAAGGGCCCTAATATATAAAAGGCACTTAGTATTTGTTGCTTAGATACCTAAAATGACGTTTTCTTCACTGGCCCTTAAGGCAAGCACAACAGCAAAAACCAACAGCCACGAGACTTCCGTGAGGCAATCCCAGGTTTCAGAAATACTAGGGTAGAAAGGCAGCCCTGGAAGCCATCAAAGAATAAAGAGAAAAAGAAGAAACCTATCACCAAGGAGTAAAGACTCAGCCAGATGTCTGCCAAAACAGCAGGGTGAGACAAACCGATGGGAGGACAGTTAATTCCCTAATAGGCGTTTTAAGTGCACTTGTAAACGGCCTCTTGTTTGTGAAGGGTCTGGAACAGGACCAAAACCCACAAACTCACCAGGATCTTCAAGCAGGGGAATTCCACACTAATGCAAAAAGCCTTGTTCAAACACAAAAGTGCTCTACCTAAAGATAGTTCTAATTACTTTTTAAGACAGGTTTTCAAAATATTGGTTTAATTTTATACTGTTTATTTAAAATTGGTAATAGTTACCCTAATAGATTTTTAACAATGAACATTTTTTTAAAACCACACTGGAAGGCTCAACTGTTCCTTTAATGAGCTTCCAAATAGGCGTACTGAGGAGCCAACATCCCCCAAATACTGCAGACCCGACAGGCGTCTTCAACCTCTACACAAAGACAGGCCTCCCGCTACTCTGTGCCCCTGCAGCAGGCAGGCTGCCCTGCTGGCGTGAGTGCAGGTGCGCCTGCGTTAACACATGAAACAAGCAGGTTACACATCAGTTCATGTATATGACCTCCTGCTTCTACAGAAATAAAAAGAGCTGCCCTGATACAAGTACACAGCCCCACAGCTCACTAATGAGGACAGTGCAGACTGGGGGACTCGCCATTCACCTCATAACTGCCTTGGGGGCCACATTACACACAAACACAGATTCCAGAAACCTTCAGACACAGAAAAAACACATGCCCATAGGCCCAAGCAATTAGGATGTTACAAATGACCAGGAAATGGCAGGCCTGCCATACCATCTGAATAATGTTTGATGATTTTTTAAAAACATTTTGTTTACCCAAAAAACTAATTTTCATATCAATTTAACCTCCACAGACAATACTTAGCTGTGATTTGTTTCTCAGACTAACCTATAGAGCATTAAGAATTAATGTGATCCAAGCAACTGGCAAATTCCAAAAGCATAAGGAAGTTTAAGGTCACATCAAGCCAGAGCTCACACTTGTTTCACAGCCCTCACTTTCTGGTCCTTGCCCTCTAGAGCACTTCTCAATGCAACAATCTCTAATCCGAGGCCTTTCTGCAAATTAAAAGACCTCACTAATGAGAAAACAAAGACTGGGCTTGGCGCTGTGGCTCAAACCTGTTATCCCAGCACTGTGGGAGGCCAAGGCAGGGGGATCACCTGAGGTCAGGAGTTCGAGACCAGCTTGGCCAACATGGGGAATCCCTGTCTCTACTAAAAATACAAAAATTAGCCAGCCATGGTGGTGGGTACCTGTAATCCCAGCTACTAGGGAGGCTGAGGCAGGATAATCGTTTTAACCCAGGGGGCAGAGGTTGCAGTGAGCTGAGGTCACGTCACTGCACTCCAGCCTGGGCACCAAGAGTGAAATTCCATCTCAAAAAAAAAAAAAAGAAAAAGAAAAGAAAGAAAACAGAGACTGATTACAAATTTCAGCTTCCTAAATTTTACTTAACTTCACTTTGCTGAAAATATACTAAGAATGGCCAAAAATTGCACATCTAAGGTAGAAAGAAGAAAAAGCAAAGTGAGTCAGGGCCATAGAACACTCTAAAATCAGGGGTTCATGTGTTTCTCTTTCCAAGCAACGTCACCCTAAGTTAAATGCCATGAATCCCAGAACCATGCTGCTCACTTACTTGGGTCAGACAGAATACAAAGCCAACAAACCCAGACGAGGCAACAGAAAAAAGGAGAAGCAGCACAGGAAGATACAAACTGGGAGGAAAGGAGAAGAAAAAGAAGTCCTGGCCCAAAGGCAGGGCAGGCAAGGCTGCACTAACATGCCTGTTGTGATCAGACACACCTTCGAGGACCCTTTTCTCATCAAAATTTCAGACCTGTAGGGACCACTTCTGGAAGCCAAAGCCACCTACACCACTTGAGGTTAATTTAACCACGATCATACAACATTCCAAAATTACCACCTTAAAATTCTCAAATATATAATACATATATTACATGCTTATAACTAAACCTTTGATTGGCTCTAAGGAAACACTCATTTCTTTTGGATCAACGCTCAGGTTCTTCTCTGCTTTCAGACCAGCAGCCTAGAGAAGAGCTGGGCATTACTGGAGAACTCAGTCTTTTTTCCAGGTGACGCTTTTGGGCACAGTCACACTGCTGATGTGATTCTTACATCTGACTTCCAGCAAAGACCTAAAAACTAGTACACATAAGATTAACTTACATGATCAATGCCTCCCATTCAAAAAAATTCTCTTCATTCATGGGGCCTGTAGGGTGAGAAAAAATTTCACAACATTTTAACTTTGAAGGAACTTTGGCAATTAAAAGTAAATTATAAGGAAGTTAACTTTGGTACTTTACCTGCTACAATTCCTTCTGGAGGATTCAGTGTTAATTCTATAAAATTAATAAGTAAAACCATTACCAAACAGAATAAATGTTACATTGTCATTTTAACAAAACACCTTTACAAAATATATAAGCCTATAAACCACAGAATATGCATATTAACAAGTGAAAATTCTGTTTGCCCAAAGTGAATACCTAGTACAATAACGGTTCTGATAAAGACCAAACAGTCTTTTTTTTTTTTTTTTTTTTTTGAGACAAAGTCTCACTTACTCTGTCGCCAGGCTGAAGTGCAGTGGCGTGATCTCGGCTCACTGCAAGCTCCGCCTCCTGGGTTCACACCATTCTCCTGCCTCAGCCTCCTGAGTAGCTGGGACTACAGGCACCCGCCACCACACCCAGTTAATTTTTTGTATTTTTAGTAAAGACGGGGTTTCACCATGTTAGCCAGGATGGTCTAGATCTCCTGACTCGGTCTCCCAAAGTGCTGGGATTACAGGCGTGAGCCAGCGCACCGGCCCAAACAGTTCTTTATACCAACAAAATACAGACTTTCATTTTTCTTTTTATGTTTACTAATGCAAAAGCAAACATAAGAGGTACAGAGTCTTTCCAAACTGTTTCCGCTGGTTACTTTGTTGTTTAGTTTTGAGACAGGGTCTCACTCTGGTTGCCCAGGCTGGAGTGCAGTGGGCAGAGTACCGGGGAAATTAATAAAACAGTAAGCAAACATACAGAAAAAAAAAAAAATCAATGAAACCAAAAAGTGGTTCTCTGAAGAGACAGAAAATTAATAAATCCTTGCCAAATAAATATTAGGTATAAGGACTGAAAAAGAAATAAAACTCATTATTCACAGATGCTATGTCCATATACACAGGAAAGCCCCAAAAAGTCTAAAGACAATTAGTAAAAGTGAGTTTGGCACAGTTGCTGAATATGAGGTATATACGTGTGTGTGTGTGTGTGTGTATATATGTCTAAAAGCTATATAAAAATGCAAACAAGAATAGCCAAGACACTATCTTTAAAAAGAAGAAACAGAAAGCTTCGTCTATGAGTTACCAAGCCTTCCTTACAGAGCTATGGAAATTCAGGCAATGTAGCACTGGCTCGAAGTTAAATTGAACCATGGGGCAGAAGAGAGAGCCCAGAAGCATACCTGTGCCAACACAGACCCTGACTCGAGGGAACACAGAGCTACGGCCCAGGGGCAAAGGGCAGTCTTTTCCATGAATGATGCTCATCTCTAAGACAAAAAAAAAATCAAACTTTCCCCATCTCACACCACATATAAAAATCAAAATAGGTAAGAAGAAAAAAGGAGGCAGAGTTGAACAGAGCCACTGCCAGAGTCAACATGGATAGTGCTGTGGTCCAAACGCTTTTGTCTCCCCAAAATTCCTATGCTGAATCCTAATGTATGTGGTATTGGGAGGTGGGGCCTTTGGGAGGAGATTAGGTCAGGAGGGCAGAACTCTCATGAATGGAGTTAGTGCCTTTATAAGAAGAAATAAGAGAGATTTGCCTCTTGGCCATGTAAGGGCGCAAGGATAAGACAGTCATCTGCAAACCAGGAAGACAGCCCTTACCAGACTTGCCAGCCTCCAGAATTGGGAGCAATAAATGTTTGTCATTTAAGCTCCCTGGTCTTTGGTTTTTTTTTTACAGCAGCCTGAACTGACTAAAACAGATGACAAATAAGCATATGAGAAAATGCTCAACATTGTGAATCATAAGAGTAATGCAAATTAAAACCACAATAAAATACAGCTCAATAGCTTCAGCATTATCCATACCTTTATTCACAACAGAATGACCAAAATTAAAGACTTTAACTGCTGGCAAGTTTAGCAAGTAGATCTCTCGTGTATCACTGATGGGAATGTAAAATGGTCTGGTTACCCTTTGGGAAAGAAGTTTGACCATTTCTACTAAAATTAACTATATATTGACCCTAAGACCCAGCAATTCTACTGGGTCTTATGTTGCCATAGACTTGTGTGTGAATGTTCGTAATAGCCCCAAACTGGAAACAACCCAAAAGTCCATTGATATGGTTTGGCTTTGTGTCCCCACCCAAATCTCATCTTGAATTGTAATCTCAAGGTGAGGGAGGAACCTGGTGGGAGTTGACTGGATCATGGGGGCAATTTCCTCCATGCTGTTCTCATGATCTCTAGTGGTTTTATAAGTGTTCGAAAGTACCTCCTTCACTCTTCTCTCTCTCTTGCCACCTTGTGAAGAAAGTGCTTGCTTCCCCTTCGGCTTCTGTCATGACTCTAAGTTTCCTGAGGACTCCCTAGCCACGTGGAACTGAGAATCAATTAAACCTCTTTCCTTTATAAATTACCCAGTCTCAGGGAAGTTCTTACAGCAGTGTGAAAACAGACGAATACAGTAAATTGGTACCAGGGTGCTGCTATAAAGACAACCTGAAAATGTGGAAGCAACTTCGGAACTGGGTAGCAGGCAGAGGCTGGAACAGTTTGGAGGGCTTAGAAGAAGGAAGATGTGGGAAAGTCTGAAACTTCCTAGAGACTTGCTGAATACTTTTGACCAAAATGCTAATAGTGACATGGACAACGAAGCCCAGGCTGAGGTGGTCTGAAAAAGAGATGAGGAACTTCTTGGGAACTGGAGCAAAAGTCACTCTTCCTATGTTTTAACAAAGAGAATGGTGAGATTTTGCCCCTGCCCTAGAGATCTGTGGAACTCTGAACTTGAGATGATCTGAAATTGGAACTTGTGTTTAAAAGGAAAGCAGGGCCGGGCGCGGTGGCTCAAGCCTGCAATCCCAGCACTTTGGGAGGCCGAGACGGGCGGATCACGAGGTCAGGAGATCGAGACCATCCTGGCTAACATGGTGAAACCCCGTCTCTACTAAAAATACAAAAAACTAGCCAGGCGTGGTGGCAGCGCCTGTAGTCCCAGCTACTCGGGAGGCTGAGGCAGGAGAATGGCGTGAACCCGGGAGGCGGAGCTTGCAGTGAGCTGAGATCCAGCCACTGCACTCCAGCCTGGGCGACACAGCAAGACTCCATCTCAAAAAAAGAAATAAAATAAAAAATAAAATAAAATAAAAGGAAAGCAGGGAGTAAAAGTTTGAAAACTTTGCAGCATGACGATGCAATAAAAAAGAAACACCCAATTTCTGGAGAGAAATTCAAGGCAGCTGCAGAAATGCACATAAGAAGGAGCCAAATATTAATCGCCAAGACAATTGGGAAAATGTCTCCAGAGCATGTCAGAGATCTTGGCAGCAGCCCCTCCCATCACATGCAGGGAGGCCTAGGAGGGAAAAATGGTTTTGTGGGCCAGGCCCAGGCCCGCCGCTACTCTGTGCAGCCTTGGTACTTGGTGCCCTGTGTCCCAGCTTTTCCAGCTCCAGCCATGGCTAAAAGGGGCCAAGGTACAGCTCAGGCTATTGCTTCATAGGGTGCAAACCCCAAGCCTTGGCAGCTTCCACGTGGTGTTGGGCCTGTGGGTGCAAAGAATTCAATAACTGACGTTTGAGAACCTTCACCTACATTTCAGAGGATGTATGGAAACGCCTGGATGTCCAGAACAGAAATCTGCTGCAGGGGCAGGGCCCTCATGGAGAACCTCTGCTAGGGCATTGAGGAAGGGAAATGTGGGGTTGGAACTCCCAGAGTCCCCACTGGGGCACTGTCTAGTGAAGCTGTGAGAAGAGGACAACCATCCTCCAGACCCAGAACAGCAGATCCACCAAGAGCTTTGCACTGTGCACCTGGAAAAGCCGAAGACACTCAATGCCCACCATGAAAGTAGCCAAAGGGGGTGGGTGCGGGAGGGCTGTCCCCTACAAAGCCACAGGGGCGGAGCTGCCCAAGGTCACGAAAGCCACTCCTCCTTGCATCAGTGTGCCCTGGATGTGAGACATGGGGTCACAAAGGAGATCATTTTGAGCTTTAAGATTTAATGACTGCCCAACTGGATTTCGGACTTGCATGGGGGTCTGCAGTCCTTTGTTTTGGCCAATTTCTTCCATTGGAAATGGGAGTATTTATCCAATGCCTGTATTTCCATTGTATCTTGAAAGTAACTAACTTGCTTTTGATTTTACAGGCTACTAGATGGAAAGGACTTACCTTGTTGCAGATGAGACTTTGGACTTGGACTTTTGAGTTAATGATGAAATGAGTTAAGACTTGGGGGCCTTGCTGGGAAGGCAAGATTTGTTTTGAAATGGAATGGAATGGTTTTGAAACGAACATGAGATTTGGGAGGGATCGGGGGAGAAATGATATGGTTTGGCTTTGTGTCCCTACCCAAATCTCACCTTGAATTATAATCCCCAAAGTGTTGAGGCAGGAACCTAGTAGGAGGTGACTGGACCGTGGGGGCAGTTTCCCTCATGCTGTTCTCGTGATAGCGAGTTCTCAGTAGAACTGATGGTTCTGTAAGTGTATGGCAAGTTCTTCCTTGGTTTGCTCTTCTCTTCTCCTGCTCTTCTCTCTCCTATCCCCTTGAGAAGAGGTCTGTTCCCCCTTCTGCCATAATTATAAATTTCCTGAGGCCCCCCAGTTATGCAGAACTGTGAGTCAACTAAATCTCTTTCCTTTATAATTGCCCAGTCTCAGGTAGTATCTTTATAGCAGTATAAGAATGGGCTAATATATCCATCAACCGTATAACGAACCCACATCCTGCCATGAACAGGGCCTACACAAGGAAAAATTATTTCACTCAAAATGCCACTAACATCTGCTGAGAAGCCCTGATCCAGGGAACAGAGGTCCTGAAGAGACCCAAGCGCTGTCACAAGGGTATGCCGACACCCAGCAGTGAGAGGAGACAGAGTGGTAAGGAGGGGCCAGCAAGGCAGGTCAAAGGCAAGTGCTGGCCCCAAGGGCCAAGTGCATTAAACATTTTAGGGGCGGGTGGGAATTGAATGTGAATGAGGTCAAGTACCAAGCAGACTAAGACTTTGGATTTCACAAGACACACCCTGATGGTCTCCCTTTGTGCCTCTTTGTGTGGAATAGATCAGGAGAAATAACAACAGAACCCAATTTGCCAGGCTT